TGATCCGAGTCGAAAAGAAGAACGGCAAAGGATCGATTGTGATCGAAGCCGATCGGAGACATGTTGATCTTTTGATTCAGGCATTTGGCCTGGAAAAGGCAAATGGTGTGGAATCACCAGATGTCAAGAAGTCGGCAGATCAGCAGATGCTGGAAAGCCGCAGTCCGCTGCTTGATAAGAGCGAGGCATCGAAGTATCGTTCAGCTACGATGCGTGCTGCGTATCTGTCCCAAGATCGACTCGATATTGGACACGCAGTCAAGAACCTTGCTCGAGGTATGGTGTCGCCGACAGAAGCCAAACTTGCAGACTTGAAACGTCTCATCAGGTACTTAAAGAAATACCCTGATGTTGGGCAATGTTTTGGCTCACAACAGGCACCCTCGAGGCTGAGGGTCCAGGTCGACGCTGACCACGGTGGAGATGCTGTGATACGCAAAAGCACGACTGGCATGGTTGCCATTTATGGTACACACGTGCTGAAACACAGCAGTAACATCCAATCCACCATAGCCCTTTCCACAGGCGAGAGCGAATACTACGCACTCGTGAAGGGCGGATCTGTAGGCTTAGGACTCCAAAGCCTATGTGCAGATCTTGGTTTGGATTTGGAAGTCACCATAGAAGGCGATTCCAACGCAGCCAAAGGAACTGTCAACCGAGTGGGTTTGGGTAAAGCCAGACACATCCAAACTCGTTACCTATGGTTGCAAGAAAGGGTTGCCGAAGGCCACTTGAAAGTGCACCACGTTCCAGGTGTTAAGAACAAAGCCGATGTGTTGACCAAATCGGTCCCTGGGGTGCAGCTTCGCAAAACAATGGAGGACCTGCAGTATGCATTCCTCAGCAAGCGAAGCAAAGGACAGTTGGATGTTTTGGAGTAAGGTCCCTGGCCAAGCTCCACTACCACAGCTGAGAGTGGCTTAGCAGCGTGAGGTTTCACATACTTTCTTTAAGCTTGCGCAGCAGTACAGTGCTTTGCAAGAGGAGGAGTGTTTGCATGTACAGCCCATAAATACTCCGCTAGAGTACTGCAGACACGTGACTCATGACGTGTTTTGGCTCAAGGTGAAAAGGCGTTCCGAAACGTCGAAACCTCGTTTTCAATTAGCATACACGTCAATATACAGCTTCCACAGTTAGCGTGTAAGATAGTAGGTCTACAAAAACCACCCCAATTGGGGTCCAAATGGGTGCGGAAGACGAAGTGTCGACCACCTGAGGAGGTGATCCCTCACGCTGGGCACTACATCCACGAAGACCGACCGGAGGAGGTCGCGGAGGCGAGACAGGTCGAAGGGCGAGACCGGTAGCGAATCGGGCGGATGCGGTGTCGGTCTCCGAAGAGTTCCGGGTGGGGTCGATCGGTCATGAGATTTCTGGTTCCGGTCGTAGCGATGCCAGGAGCCCCGAACGTAGCTTCTTGTTACTATAGTGGCTTGGCATGGGACTCGGAGTTGGGCCGCCGAGGTGATCCGTGTTCCTGTCGATCTGGATGTTTGGTTCAGACTTATCAACTGGCGGGTCGCGAAACGGGTAACACCCCAAAGCAATGCGATCGCTGGACGTCCCTGGCGGTCGATGCGATCGTTGGTCGAGAGGATCGATGCGAGCTTTGGGGTGTTCAACCCATTGCTTCATGCACAGTCCCTGTATGTTGTTCTTCCATTGACATGCGCTCCAAGACCTGCAGAGACCCCATTGATCCATCGGCTCCATTGCCATTGCATGTCCAGCATGTCTTCCGTCCGTCGCTCGCCCCAAAAACACGTCCTTCACAGGCCATTGCCAAGTTCTTGCTTCAGCTCAAGCAGCAGGAGCTCGAGACCGCATCGCGGGCCTACACTGGGTCGGTGGACAGGGGCGCTCGAGCCAAACCTTTATCAAATGATTTAAGAAGTTGACCTCACAGTGCCATTTGTTCTCAAACCATGGGGCCCTAGCCTGGTAACCGTTATTATAACAAATTGTAACCTATAATAACAAACATTCAGTGGCAATCTTCAAAGTTGATAAGCACTTAGAATATTGATTGATATTGTTCAGGAAGTGCTGATTATATAATCGTTATGTGCATGCTTCAAGGTGGTAGGATGCAGGCGCCAGTTTGTCAAGTTTTCATGTTGACACCCCACACTGACGGATGGGTTGGATACCCTATGCTTGATGCTTCTGATTTGGGCTTTGACTTCCTATGTTCATATATATATATATAAATGGGCTGGCAGGTCTGGTGCCAAATTTGGCTGGGTCCTTTTGCTTTTGCTGAAGCAAGGGGGGAGATGCTCCCGCGAGAGGAAGCCGCATATGCGAAGATCATGGAAGGACGTGCCGGGCCGCCCTAGAGGAAACGCAGTGCGTACCGCGCTGTGCCGAGCTGTGGGTTGAGTGGTGGCGTGTTGGATCGAGCAACAATCAGATGAGTGTGTGGTGGCTGCAAAAACCGACAAGAAAGGGTCTTAACTTCGCTGGTGGTGTTCCATATTCCCTTCTAAACCGGAAGCCGAGGCCAACCACTTGCCAGTAACTCTTCAACATGTTAGTTGTGGGTTTGATTTTCAGTTGGTGATTTCCAGTGGATCGAACGGTGATGACGGTGACGCCTAACGACGAACACCATCGTCTTGAGCGAGATTCGTTGACTCCGAGTGGGCCCCAAGTGGGGACCGTTTGCAGAAGCTCGGCGTGCACTGCCAACAGTATGACACATGCTCTGGCAGTCAAAAGAGCATCGAGCTGCTGAGCTGGAGTGCGAATGGAGCTACTCGAGCTTGGAGAAAGACACCGATCAAGCCCAGGGAGCGCGACCTCTGTGGTACTGTATCATGTGGCATGCGCGGCAGTCACTCCTTGCTACGAACTCTATGGCTTAAGCTCCACTGAGGTCGTTTCTGAGATCTATACCCCGACTCCGGATTGGTCGTCCCATCAACCACTTGTTGCGGCCTGTGTTTCACCCTCCACAACCCGCCGAGGCCTCTCCCTCCTCGTCTCCCAGCTCCAACCCCAAGCGGCAACGTGTACATTGAACCGAGAGACCGGCCCAGGGCAAAAGCGAGGCCTTTGAAAAGCGAAGCCTCCTCAAAGAGGACCACTGCGAAGTAAGTTCAGAAAGAAAACAGAACTATAACAGATAAACTGTTACATAACTGTTAGTCATTGTGGTTGGCCACTTGGGGAATCCAAGTTGCAAACTGGTGAACTACGCTTTTGCTGGTCCTCTTCTCTATGGATTTGTCCTCCCAAGTCACGTCACACAAAATCCCGTGGGTGTTGTGGGGGTGTAAACGTTGGAAGTGAAGAAATGTATAGATAAACCACACACCTTGCACCAAACAGATACGAAGGATGATGCAGGTTTGTTTCTGCATGTTTCCACCAGTTAAACACATGTTTGTTTAAACCATGTGTGTGGGCATTCACCATGCCAGATCAAAACGCACCCAATCAGCGCGCTACCGGAGTTGATGCGCCTCTAAGAGGCACCGAGGGAGGAAGCCTTTTGAGGTACCGATTTAAAAACAGTTTGACCCTGTTGGCCCTTTGCACCGTGCAACCATAGGGCTAGCGAAAGGGCATGGATTCAATTTGATTCAATATTGATTAATATTCTTATCTCATAGACCCTGCCAGGCCTGCCTTGTTGTTTGGAAGCTTTTAGGTCCTAGTTGGTGTCAGTTCCTCGGCCAGTCAGCCCTTGCGGCATTTGGACAGCACAGGCCGTGTGTTGAGGGGGTGAAGAAAAGCGCCGCTTTGGCTGTGGTAGGGTGTTGAACCGGAACTTCCAATGTGTATGGCTCAAACGTGTCCCAATCCGAGCAGCACTTGATGTTGGTTTTCGGCTCGCTGTTAATTGTTGAACACCGATTTATGCTGATCCTATATAGGGAGCGCTTGCCAAGACCACTAGGAAAGTAAGAGGCCAGGAACAAGGTAAGCGCACTTGAGGGGGGTCTATTGCCTGTGCTTTGTTGCCCCCAGCATTAATTTCAACACAGCTGAACATGTCAAAACATGTCTAAAACTGCTGCATAGAATGGTTTTCGGGGGAGCATGCTGGTTTTCCGGGTTTAGGTATTCTATATTTCACGACCCCCTCTCTACTTCATGAATCAACGGAATCAATCTTAATTAGTCGTTGCTGATATTGCTGGTTGTAGGTTGTTTTTTTTGTGCCAAAGGCCTCCATATATTATACAAGATTTGGACAGGAGAAACGGATGGATTTCAATTAAACATAGGTTCTTTTTGCAAGTCTAGTCTGAGTCTAATCAGTCTACTGTAACATACTGTAACCCTTCCATTTCAGTGACATTTGCTGATCCCGCGAAGATGCTGCACTGAATGGCTTTCCTCGAGAGCAAGAAGCCACAGGAGGGTGTGCCTTCATTACAACCAGCGCGTGCTATTGCTTGGAACCTGAAACCTCATTGGCTTGTTGGAGAGTACAGCGTCTTTTTGGCAGATTCCACCAAAAACACTCTCCATGTACAGTTATTTGATTTTTGGGATGTTGAAGGCTGTCAGAAGGCAAGCAGTTCGTCAGCGGCGGTCAGCGGCTGTTTCGTTGTCCTTGTGCGGACTCGCTGGTCTTTGGAATCGCCCGGAGTCATCGTGCGTTTTCTCGGATTCGCCCGGCTCAAGATCTTGAGCGAACAGGGTTGAAACGTAGCGACGAAACCAAGCGCCTCTGAACCGAAGATGGGAAGATTGCACCTCAGAGTTCTCACTTTCATCCGAACATTGAAGGAATCACGACCTACTTTAGGGCCCAACTTGCTCGGCCATGGCTCACAATTCTGCTATTGTTTCACTAGACCAAGACGGTTTGGTGATACCATGTGATACCTTTGAAGGTTTTGATGCCGCGCCCATACTGGATTTGTTGCCTACCTTTTCACATTGACAATGCAATCTCAACCTTTGATCAGTCATCACACAGATCGCTACCTTCTTTCCTCCCCAGTTACTTGCTCCACAGAGCTCCAGCCACGGCTGCCATGGCGGAGCTCCACCCGGAGCCGCCGCCCTTGGATCCCACGCTCCTCCGCGGGGAGCTCCAGCGGCTACGTGGCGAGTACGACTCCCTCAAGGCTGCGGCCGAGGAGGCGGCGGCCTGTCCGGGGTTGGAGGTTGCTGGAGTTGATGTTGGAATATGGCGGTGCCCTGGGCGGAATCCTCAACTTCTTGGGTTCGGAATCGTCAAAAGAGTTCCCTGAATTCCCTACCTACAGTTGACAGTAGTCACCTTTCAATTCTATTCCAAACTGTGGATATCCCCCATCCATCCATCCATCCATCCATCCATCCCAGGAGGAGGCGGCGGACGAGGTGCGTTTGCACGACCTGCGCCTGGAGCGCTTGGCCTTGAAGGCGCTCCTGGACCGCTACCGAGAACGGCCGCCGAAGGTGGACGCTGGGCTGCAACCATCGGCGGAGTCCATCGGCGGAGTCGTGGCCGTGGCCTGCAGGTGTAGACTGGAATCACTCCCTGGACCATTGTCCATTTCCATTTCAAATTCCACGGAGTGTAGACATGTTTAGACCACTTGGGACCATATGGGTGACAGCCAATGTTTTCGTTGGCAGAATGTAGATCAGATGGTTTGTCAGATGTGTTCTCAAGTGTTTCCAGCTAGGCTGTACACTGTTCGAAGCTGTAAAGCAATCAGCGCATTTGCTGTTTGCGTGTTTGGACTTCACACCGAATTCGATTTTACATTGCAGGCGTGCTGTCCTTTGTTTTCTTTGGTGCCGCACTTGTAGCCACCACTACTAATTAGAAACATTAGAAGCATCACCATTAGATTCTATGCCATGAAGCAGAGGTGCCTATCGAGGACCGAAACAAGCTCCAAGCTTTCAGTGCAGAGCGTGTTGAGTGGTTACCTCTCGTATATAGTTCACAGTGAGGAAGAGCTGGCCGAGAGGTACGAGTCCGAGATTGATCAGTTTCTGGGCCGGGAAGAGTGGACATTACAAGCCCGTCTCACCAACCTGGCCCTGTACTGTAGGAGGCAAACAACCTCGATCTCAAAGTTGTTGCTCCTTCTGCAAAGGGATCGAACGTGTTTCTCCATGTGCCGCAGGTATGAAGTCCAAGGAACAAATATATAGCCGGGACCCGGGGTCACAGTCACAGATCCCCACAAGTGACTGGTTAGGTCGGCAGGTTCACTCCTTGAGCAACAAATAAGCTTGCAATCAGTGTCACTCTGCGAAAGAACAGCATAGAAATGCGAATTCAAATATATATGTGGTGCCTTTGGTGTCGAGCTCCGAACAGCGCGGTCGCGGGGACCAAAAGGAAACGGCGAGCGAAAAGCGACCAGCAGCCGCCGGGCTTCGCCGGCGCAGCGTCTCGCGTCTCAGGCTGTCCGAGGAGTTGCGACAGCTCCAGGAGGAGAATGCCCTGTTGGCCTACCATGCCCCTTGGGCCCTTGGCGTCGGTGTCCTGGAGTCGGACCTGTTGGCACTGGGTCAGACACGAGGAGCAGGAAAGGAATTTGGAACACGCTGGAGCAAAGTCACCCAGGACATTGGTTGTTGCATCTTAACTGTCATGTCATTGAAATGCATGCAATGCATGCTGTGCAAAGAGTCCTGTGGCAATGCGATCATGTACATGGCATCAACCGGTCAGAATCCAAGACCAAAAAGTCTTGATTTTTTTGCGCATATACAAACAACACAAGGATACACAAGGTATTCTAGTATTTTCTATATCGCATGTTAAAATTGTTAAATCATTAAAGGTTTCTGAAGTTCGTCCATCACCGAGCCCTTCCCAGGCCGCCTGCGATGACGAAGCGTCTCCAGCTCCGACCCCATCGGCCTCCGCCCGGACGCCGCGCACCACTGTGGGCTCCGCGCAGCGCCGTTCGGCGCGGCAGGCGGGTGCGGCGGTAGGCGCCGTTCGGGTCGGTCCTGGTCGGGCGAGTCCGGTGCAGGTGAAGGAGCAAGCGAAGGAGGTCCGGCAATGTGAGGCACAGCTGATGGCCTTGCGACGCAGGACGCGGGTCAATGAGTGGTACTTGGTGCCTGGTTTTGAAGTTTGGTGTGTCGTCGGATGGGAAGACGTTGCTATAGAGCAATTGGATTGTTCAAAGAGTCGAGCGCATTGTGAATTGAGACATGCCGGACATGTCCCAAATAGTTATTCCCCAACCATCCTGAACCAGAAGCTATAGCACTAATTAGTCCACCAATGTCCACCGGTTTGATCTCACGAAAGCTAGCACCAGCTAGCTGGAGTTCTTGCAATTTAGCAAGTGAGGGGGTGGAATCCTCGAGAGCGCCGCATGAACACTTCGTGCGTACGGCCCCCGCCCGGGTTCAACTCCTCCCTGGGACGTCTCTGGGACGTGTGCATTTGCATGCTCACCCCCGCCCTGCTAGTTTCGTCACCATTTCTCGGCCTCAAGTTCCTTCTAGAAGACTTGATCCTGACATCTCTAACTACCCCTTGGTAGCTCATCTTAAGGCATCCCGGTCGCCGAGTCCAAGCATTGCCCGGCGTGGACACGCTGGAGCTTTCGGGCTCGAACATGTGCGAACAAACAAATTCGCAAACCACGCGTGGAAAGACACTGTGGTCCACCGGCGGCCCGAGCGACCCTCCGGTCGCTCCCGGTCTCGAGCCGTCTCGAGCGACGAAGACGAGGCTCAGCTGAAGACACAGCTCCAAGAAACGGGCAAGCTCCTGCAGGGCCGTGAGAGCTGCTTGAAGGATCTCAAGGAGCGTATTGACCAGGCCAGCCGTGTGAGTCAGCTGGGCTAGGCAGGTGCTTGGGTCAGAAGAGTGATGACTTCAAGTGAACTTGCAGGTCCCAGTGCGTTGTGAGTTCTTCCATTGGCTTTTTGGCAACGCCTGAGAGTGTGAAAGTGGTATGAAGTGGTATGTGCATCTATGTGCATCTATGTGCCGTGTGCCGGTTTTCCGCATGTTGCATGCATGGAGTTTGCAACTGGTCCAGTTGATGTCCAGCAGACAAGGCCCATGCAGACCGACGACGTCTCAGTGGGGAGCGTGTGCGAACGCAGCAGACCCTGGAGACCGAGCGACAGGAGACACCTGGAAGGCTGTTGGTTGAACGTGTCTGAAGAGGATTCCGCACCAACCTCACCCAGCTGCCCTGACCTGCCCTGAAACTTGGATGTTTACGATTCATATCATAGGTCATTGGGTTTTCCTACTAATTCCAGGTCTTAGTCATGGCATGTCTAGGGTGCACAGGAGCTGGTGCAGCTGCATCAGGAGGCCCTCAGCTTACGGGAGGCCGGCGCCGTCGTGGCCGGTGCTGGTCCAGAGGCGTTGCACCAGCCAACGGTCCAGTTTCGGCTAAGCTCAGGTCCAGCTTGGTTTCGCCTGTGATGGAATGAACCAATGTGAACCGAATAATGAAATTGGCGTGCCAAATCATGTTTGCACATGAGCGATGAAATGATCAAAACTTGTGTGAAAAGATGGGATAGCTCCATATCATTCCATATCTATATAATGATATCATATCTATATTTATATACTGCTGAGGTCAGTGAACCCCTTCGAAAGTTGCTCACATGAAGACCGCTCACGTGCATGTTGGCATGGGGTGGTTTGTTCATGCCCAATTGAGGGTTTTCTGTTTTACCTTCGCTGTTGTGTCAACGAACCGTTTGATACGAGTTGCTAAGACTTGTATGGCATCAGTTACAGTATATACATGTATATACTTACTGTAAATGGCCTCCAACCTAATAGCGATGGCCTCCAACCTGTTGACTTCAAGTAGACTTCATGGCTTTGTACTTGATAGCGAGTTTTGAAGGTTAGACACCTGCGCGCCCGCCCCAAATGGGCACCGACAGGTCATCAGATTAGTTTTGCACGGACTGATTCATAACCATCCTCCATTCACCGACATGAAGATTGCAGGGCTTTTCGACTGACACCTGGTCCAGGCCTGCTATTTGCCTGCGCAGCTCAAAAAGAAGAGCAGCATGTTGACCAAATTCCTTGATCAGGAGGGGTCAATTTGGCCAGTTTGTCCGCTGATTGGGCCGGTATCACCAGAGATGAAGAATAGGTAGGGGTCCCCTCTTCGCTGAGTTTTGCACATCCCACGTGCATCTTCGTATGCTTTTCTTTGACGGTCAGTAGTTGCACCATGCTGTCTCAATAAAGATGTTAGCATCGGCGTGTTTGATAGCTTGGGTTTGATTGGGCGTGATGTAAGAAAAAGTACACCGAGATACCTTGGACTGACAGTCCTCCACTTTCAGTCCTTCAGACTGACAGAAACTGTCAGTCCTTCAAACGTAGTGTGTTTCGAAGGCAAGGCTGATAGTGACACGAACTCATGCATGTATACGCTATACTAAGTGTCATGTATACATACCAACTCATAGATGGACATACATTTCAAGAGCTGTACACTTAGTATCCGCAGCATAGCTATATGCTATATAGATGAAACACCTGGCTAGACAGGACGGGGCCCCGCGCCCTTGGATCTAACCTTCAGGTTGGCATGGTAGGTTGTACATGGGCGATAGATGGCCATGGATGCCCAAAAGACTCCTCTAGGCCTGACCCCACCAGGCTCGGAAAGGCGTAATTAAGCTGCTTTCCGAATGAAGCACTCCTTGGACTCGTTGGGAAACTAGTGGCGTCTATGTCTAAGGTGTGTGTGTCCCAAAATGTCCCATTACCAAAAACAGTCCGTCAAAGAGGGTCCGCGCCTGGAAAAGGCCTGGACTAGCCATCATCCACTGGGCTCTGGCGCCCTTCTCATCCCACATGGCACCTTCATCGCAGGAAGGCGGTCGCCTTCAACTGGAGAAGCACCTCCGTGCCTCCAGCGCCGTGCAGCAGCTCTACCGCCGCGTGGGCAGCGAGGCGCCGGAGGCCACGGCGCTGGCTGGGCGAGTGAAGGCAGATATGGAGGCAGCCTGTCAAAAGGTACAGGACTCCGCTGGATGGATGTGTTGTGTTTCTGGTCGCATATGGTGCTGAGATAGAGCGAAGGAGCCTTTCGGAGCATGCATCCATGGGAATCGCGACGACCACACCCAAAGGTTGAGATGTTCGCTCATTGGGAACTGGCTGAGTTTTAAGACAATTTAAGACAGGCCGCCAGAAAATGTGGACATCCCAGTCCTCTTATGTTAGACTTATATAGGGCCCGCGGCCGGCGTCGGCCGGCCAGAGAATGCCGGATCGCCAATCATGCTGGTGGGATTGAAAAGGGGTGCTGATTTTAGGTCACCAGGCACCAGGTACTCCCAAACCCCGAACTCGCACCAACTCATCCCACATCTTGCGTTCAGCTTGGGGGAACTAGAGCAGGAACTCGCACCAACTTGCGTTCAGCTTGTGTTTACTAGTATGAAGGAATCAACCAGTGTCATTTCCTATAAGCTTTTCCTGTATTCAGCTTGTCCTTCTGATGCTGAAGAGATTATTTTTTGCAGTTTCTAGTTCAAGCACACTGGACTTTCGCATCTGCCTGATCCATGGTGCCTTGCATTCCTGCGAAGCGCAAGCGCTCTTCTTCTCCTTTTTCCTCTCAGAAGGCTTCTTGACATGCATTCTATTTTGCGCGATGTATTTCTTACCTTTGTTTGCATGATAGGTCTCTGTAAGCTGGACTTGAGGTTCCTGATGGTGGCCAGCAACAGCTGACAGATGTGGATGCCTGGCCTGGCATTGTGGGTTCTTGGTTGGTTTGGCTTGGTCTAGGTTGGCTGTTGGCTGGGCTTTGGCTTTTCATTGTGTTGGTGTTCTACTGTTTGTGTTTGTTTTCTGTGTTGCTGTGTTGTGGTTGTTTCTTGTTTTTTGGTGTGTGTGTGTGGTGCTGTGTTTGTTTTTTTTGTTTGTTTGCTGGTTTGTTTCTTTGTTTCTTGTTGTCGTCCCCTGTTTGCTCTTCCCTGTGTGTTTGCCCTGGCCCAGGT